TTGGTTGCTCAAAGTTAATCTGAATAAATTTCAGCCACAATTTATTTTTTCGTATTCAGATATTATTAGTTGATGTAGGTATCATTTTCAAACTGTTTCTACGCAAATGTTCTGCTCTGAATATGTCAATGCATGGAGCTCGCATCTAAGTACTTTTCGTCTTTATACCATGGATCAGAGTATGTACTTCTATCTGTTCCTTGATTAGAACTGTTTGTCAAATGCATGCCAGAAGTGTACGTTCCTTAGGACTCGTAACATCTGTTCGCACATTGCATCGCATCTTTTTATGAGCATATGTGTACTGTTCCTTCTCCACGAATGAAAGACTCCTTCATCGGCAAATGGTCTCCTTCTAAATTCCTAGCTATGTGATGTGCTTTCTACCGCCTTTTTCCATCGATACATTGGCGTTTCAGTCGATAGAGCGTCTAAATAAGAATCGAGTGCTTCTGAGTTTGAGCCTTGTTAGGTGACTCCCTTTTTATCCGTGTGATGGCGGTATTGCACAGTGCCTAAAAGGTCGACTTCGAACTCTGGAGGTTGCCGCTGGATTCCGGCGTAGGGCAATTTTTGTCTAAACCATGAATTCCTTGAGCAATTAATTTGCCACGCCTTGTTTTAGGCCGGGATCGCTCAGGCTGAGTACCTAGAGACCCCAGGTTCAAGCCTTGGTCAGGGTTGCGCGCGTTTCTTTCGTCTGAAATTGATATATAAGTGCCACTCTCTTGGAAAGAAACAGGAAACTACACACTTTGTCTTATAGCTATTTGTATAGCTGTTATTAGCTGCTGCACTCTGTCTTTGAAATATTATACCCGTGTCTGATGATATGGAAATGGAAATCAGCACCCCACCATTAACTTTATGAAAAGAAGGGGTCAAGGTGTCCTAATCACGAAAATGTAAAAAAGACGGAAATTCCAACGATTTAAATGGTTCTGTGATGAAAGGGAAAAAAAGTTTGCAGGAAGTTTGTATCTCTTGAATGTCGGTCTTCCTTACACTTATATTGGATAGCCAATTCTGATGCCTTTTTTCAACGAAGTTGTTGGTATGGCTCAGATCTCCATTTCCATGCTGAGGGAAGAATGTTATGTGTATGGAGGAATCTACAATTCTGTGGCAAGCATGATATATAGTCTGATGTTTCCTTTCCACGCATTGGTACTCATCGATGAATCTTGGAAGAAAGGAAAAGTGTAAACTAACAGGAGCTCGAACCGGGATCTCTCGGTTATGAGTCCAAGGTCCTACCGATTGAGGAATCTTGATCAGCTTTGATGAAAATAGATGTAAAATTCATCAGACCTTTTATGTTTATTAGGATAAAACTTTCTTGCTTCCTGGCGTCGCCTACCGTCGAATGAAAAGGGCATGGCGACTTTCAGTCTTCGACGAGGCGACTTTGGTAACAGCTTTCGAAGTTATTATTCTCGTCTAGTGACGCTTATCTGTTTGTCTCTGAAAAGCATACCTATTATAAAATATTCTTTTAGGAGCACATCATTGACCAGTGGAACGAAGAAGAACAGAAATACCACAATTTTCTGGCCGAAATGTACATATCTAAAGTGAAATGTTTGTACAACGGATACAGTGATGCGCTACGAAGTAGTAAGAATTGCCAATAAAAGTTCTGATTTGATTTAACTGTGGGTTTTATAGACCAAAGGGTAACGGTTGCTGGCGAAGAACCTGGAGAACTGGGCGTCTACCGTCGAAAGCTGCTCAATTTTTTGTCTACGTCAGAAAGATACAACCCGGAAATTTTGCTCGTCCAGTTGCCTTTCGAATGTCAGTATTTTTATTGTTCGTTGCGGCTTAGGTTGATCACAGAGCTTTATGTTTAGTTCTCTTTGAAGAAAGGGCCGTGTTGCTTGGTCGTTTGCGACGCCATGAACAAGTGCTTGCCATCTACTGTAATATTCTGCATGATTTCAGGCAAGCTGAGCAGTACTGTAGTCGAAATTACAGAGCTGACTCATCAGATGAGTCGAAACTCTTTCTCAAGCTCCTGAAAATGTTTGCCA